GCAAACTAATTGAAATTTGATTCATGAATCGTATCCACATTGAATTAGAGTGAATTGAAAATGGAATTGACCCTAACCCTGGTATTGAGTACTTCATGTCCTGTGACTGTTCTACAGTGTGGTGAAACAGGGCATCCAATAGGGAGCCTGTGTTTTGACTGTCCATGAGAATGAGGGGCTTGTCATGAGAAAGTGAGGTATGGGTCGCGTTCCCCTGCTCAGACGTTGCATGCATCAACCAATGGTTGCGTGCCACGTCATTGACTGTGTCATCAACTGACAGATTGCTATAATATATTATGTGTTTAGCTAATATGTTAAATACCTATCTAAGCGTTGTAAGATCTGCCAGGCGTCAGCAACACCTGGGCAGAGAAACGCACCCAAAGCTGACAACACATCCCAGCAACAGGGATGTGGGGACATGGGGTTGAGAAGAGGGAGGCTAATCTCAACAGAGACACCTATAGGCAAAGCCAGGGCCCAGTTTTTCAAAAGTTATCTGGATTTTGCCTATCGGATAGGATTAAATGCATAAAAATATGAATAGAACGGACAAATCATTGACTTGAATGGGGACTTCGGTTCTATTCATTCGATTTCTATGGATTTAATCTTATCCGATAAGCAAAATCCAGATAGATAACTTTTGAAAAACTCTGTTTGAGCGAGAGAGCTATGTGTGTGTTTCCATACATCCCCCAAATAAGGATAGGTCATCCTAAATGTAACTTAATCCACCCCCAACAACCCTTTGTTGAGAGCCAGCCTTTAAAACCAGCTTCTCAAGGTTACGGGGCTTTGTTATGAAGGTGGACACTGTCCTGTCCATCAAAGATAATCCAGGTATTTTCAGCACCTCTTTGGGCCAATGGGAAGGACAAACTAAACCCTCCATAACTTACACAGGGAGCAAATAAGGCTGAGAAAACAGCTACACTATTGTGGAGTACTGACAATGAGAACCAAAAGCTCAACAAGTTGTCATGTGTTTCACTTTATTCCTCATTTCCATCTTTGCCCCTGGGCTTTTTTAATATTTCTTCACTGGGTCTGAGGCATGTGTTGGGAGCACAAAATGTTAGAAATGCAGTTGTCATCCATTCCACCCCCCCCCATGGTCTGGTGCAGCTGTATGCTCTGCACCCCCCTCCCACTCTGTTGTTTTATAATTAAATGGCGACATTAGTTCATATCATGTGATTCTAAAAGAATTCATCACACATTAGAGGCTCTAATCACCACCTATAGTCTGCCCCTCGCCTGGGGCGCAGGGTTCGCCCACAGGACCCTGCTGAGCTCAGCGCTTCCTTTATGCCCCCTGAAAGAACCGGGGATTGAGCCCAAACAAAAAAAAAACACGAGAGTGAAAAATGTTTTTACACCCGGCCCGCTCTCTCGCAGGGCTGGCTGTGTGCGCACAGGGCCGTTTTAGCTTTAGATCAATGGGACAAGTTATTGGAGTCTGGCCAACTCTAACCGATAGAAAAGAAAGAAAAAAGCTGTCTCTTCAAAAAAAAAATAAAGAGAAAAAAATAATAATAAAGAAGGGTTTGTCATAAATGCTCATGATGAAATTGCCCGTTTTTTTTAAACACCTTAAGTTTATGCTTGACCCTTTAAAAGACTTCTAGATACATTTTACACTGATAATGCTTAGGCCTACACCCTGGTGGGAGGGGGGGGGGGGGGGTTACAGGGGTCTATGACATACTAGTGGGATGGCTTTTAAGGCCTTACGTCAGTCACACACACGGGGGAAACACTGCAGCCCCTTTCAGACACCCCTGTCGTGGAGCTCAGCATAGCAGCGCTCATGTTGGGAATGATGGGTATTATTTTAACACAGCCTTTCGCTGTGATGTTAATGAATCAACAGTTTAGGCACCATATGGGCCTCTATGCATGGGTCAATGAAACATGTGCGCGCTCATGGCAATAGCGCCCCCCGATTGGGAACATATATTCAATACCATAAACACTAAACAGGAATAAGAATAACATATCATGGAAATCAATGGACAATTTTGAGTTCATTCATTTAATTTAAATTCACTTCCTGAGTCGACCCCAATCACTTTACAAGGATAATTTACCAGAATGTCATCCTCATGATGATACTGTATGGCAAGACATTAACATTTCAATTCAGTGAGAGAAAATAGGAATGGAATGCCAAGCTTTTCATGGAAAATCCTTACTGAATTTGATACTTTTCATAATTTTACATCATCACTTCCTGTCATACGATTCCCCAGCCTCTTCTCCTGGGCGAGTCTCAATAGTCTAACATGGCTTCCACTAATTGGCTCCTCCTCAGGTGTTGGTTTTAGACTATTGAGATGCACCCCCAGAGTTGTTGACATGCAACACCCCTTTATGACCCCTCTATCTGCCATCTAACAGATATGGGCCTTCATCAGTAGCCTGTGTTTGCCTGTCACCTTGTAACTGAAGGGGTCTCTGACCAACGCCTACGCACCTGCTCTACTGAGCCTGTGTCTGGCACAGACATCCAAGCTGTCTGGTTCTGTGAAAAGAGGACGCTGCAACTAACCACTGAAAAAAAACCTTCAGCTAGAAGATGCTTACTTCTCCCTTATGAAATGTCGAATGTCACAAGATGATATTGCCCAGTTCCTGTATGAGAAGTCAAGTATCGGTCAAACCCATGTTCTTGAAGCTATTAAAATACTGACAAGATGATTGGCACTTACAGGGATAGGTAGATGTATTAAGCTGTTGTTGTTAGGGGAAGTCAAGCTAGGAAGGGTTGGGGAGGCTTTATAAGTTACAGGATCTCTTAGACAACTCGCAGAACTTGGGGAGAGCTATCAATATCGTACTCTGTACTAACTTCTGCCTGCAATTGCATTAACTAAAGAATAATCTGAATACTTTGACGAAGTGTCTGTGTTTCCTTCTTACCACCACATATTGATTTGAGCATCATTACACCTGATCATCAGTTGAAGAATTTGAGCCAACATAACCCAGGAAATGAGTTACCGTGACTACAGGCAAGGGCCCCTCTGTTACGCCATAGACAAAGCCAGTGATGTCTCACTCACATGGACACATCACACAGCTTCACAAACGTGAGCGCCATCATCCACATAGAGAACTTCAGAACTTTGTAACTCATGTAAGAGAAATATAAGCAATGTAAGAGCAATGTAAAACATCTAAGAAATTAAATGATTTATTTTTAACAATTTGGCAGATCAGCCCACACACTGAATTAACCTCTCGTGAAGTTACACACACTTTCAGTACACACAGGCACATTCACATTAGGCTTTGGAGCCAGCCGGCCAGTCACAGAACCAACTGTGACTCCTTTCCTTGACAGGCTTCATCCCGACATACTCCAGCCTTGAAGCGTAGTCTACAGACAGTACATGGAAGGCAAGGCAGGTGCCATTCAAAGAAAAATCAAACAAAATCCTATTCAGAAGTCAACTTAAAAACAAGGTATTCGCTTGTAATTTATTGATAGAAAATAATACAAATAAAACTTAAAAGGGTAACAGTAAAAAAACATAAATAAGTTAAGGATAAATGCAGAGCTTTCTAGTGTAATTTGGATGCCTAGAGATGGAGTGAATTTGGGAAACGTCACTAGGCATGTCTATACTGTGCTAATCCAGAAAGAGATCTGTCCACCCTAGTTACAACACAAACAGTTTCAGTTGTTGCCGTGTTAACAGAATATCACTCATTAGCTGAGAGTAATACAACACCCATTGCTACATTTACAACTAAATAATCAACATCAAATAGCTTCAAGGAGACAAAACAAAATACACTGGGATTAAAACGCACAAAATATAGTCTTTCAAAATGTAGTCTTTAGGCAGGATACCATCTCCTTCATACTTGTACCGGCAACTTGGTCAAGTAGATGGGATACAGCTTTTGTCAAATTTGATGTCAAAAGTAGATTTGTTTTGCATTTTCGCTAACCCTAACCATTTTCATAACCTTAACCTAAATCTCCTAACCTGCTACGTTAATTCTCCTAACCTGCAGCGTAATTTCCCTTAAACCTGCTACGAAAAGTCAATTTTGACAAAAGCTGTATCCCCTCTAGACAAAACCCTGCAGGTCCTCTGAAGCCCCACACAGTACCCCGGCACCCACCTCTACCGCTCCCCTCGGAACAAAGAGAAGGGAAAGACAGAGACACAGGACAGCTCCAGGCTGCAGCAGGTTTAATTCATCAACTAATTAATGCTCTTAACGGAGGAGAGAAAAATGGCACACGCAGCACAATGGAACACGCATCCCATCCCGGCGTACAAATAGAACCAAGACCAATCGATCAACCGCAATAAATAAATGTCTTATCTTTAAAAGGCTTCTGGGGGTCAAAGCTGAGAAGGATTCAGTGGGATGAATTCTGGTGGATGTCTATCTGTCTCTTCCTGTCACCTACTTAACTTTCAGAAATATTTACACAGCATAGCAGCCCAATCTGGGCTTAGTAAGTAATGCTACATCACATGAACGGAGTTCCCCTATGGAAGGAAGGAAGGGCAGCAGTTCATGGGGAATTGCCTTTTCACATGTCACACTCCCAATATCACCCCTAGCTACTCGCAGACTGAGTCCCCTTCCTTAGCCCTTCAGTGAAACGCTTTCCTCCGATCAGCTCTGGACATGTGCAGCATAGAAATAGAATGAATAGAACGGGCTTGGAACCTCTAACCCTAACAATTTGACTGGTAAACGCCACCAGTCCACCCATTAAGCCATTATTGACTTAAATGGGGATGCCCGTTCTATTCATTCTATTTCTACGATGTGCAGTTCCTTCTCACCTGACATCCAATGTACGCTCACAGCTGGCCTGAGATCGGTGTATAATGGTGGAGTAATGGTGTAAAAGATAGAGAATGCAGCAACCCAGTTGTAATGTTGTTGAGGATGGGACTGGATGGAGGAAAAGAGAGGACCCTAATCCTCCTCTTTTCTGAGATGGAGAGGAAGAGTGGACTCTATTCCCCGCCTCCCTCCTCCTCCTCTTCTAGATGGCGCTCTCTGTAGATGTCTTTGACCAGGAGGAGAGGGGTGAGGATGCTCTCCAGGACGCTGCGGTCCAGAGGAGTAGAGGAGAACCACAGGGAGCTGTCACTGTCACAGCTGCTGCCCGATGCCTCTGGCTGCACATAGAACACATCCATACGCTGCCTCAACAACCCTGGGCTGCAGAGAGAGGAATTACCACATTAACCACAAATGAAATTATAGCTTTGTAGCTAAATTTGGGCCAATACATTTGATGCAGGTTGACATTTATTGGGATGAGTCTTGTCCTGGAGGCAGAACTGAGCGATTTCTACTAGATGGGACAGCTGCAAAGTCAAAATTGGCTATATTGTAAAAATTCATAGAAACAAAAGCTTTTTGATCTTAATTTAAGTCTAGGTTAATTTAAGGTTAGGGTTAGGCATTAGGGTTAGCAGTGTGGTTAAGGTTAGGTTTAAACTAAGATTGTATGACTTTATGTCTGTACCAGCTAGTGACCACTCTGCAGACCTGCCTCCAGAACAAGATTCATGATGAAAAACCCTAACCTGCATATTTGTTGTGCAGTGGTCCCTGACAATTAACAAATAAATGAGCACAATGTAGTAAGGGAAGTTGAAATTGACCACTTGAGGAAGTCGAAGTCATAGAAGAGAAAAGTGGCTCACCACTTGGAACGGTAGAGCTCGTAGAGTCTGCACTCGTGCTTCTTGACTGGACAGTGTGTGGAGCTTCCTGAGCCGTCGTCTGGCTCGTAGGCCAGGTCACTGTCCTCTTTACGTTTCCTCTTCCTGGACCCTGTTTGTACTGTTCACAGAGTAAAACAGACAGGGAGGATTAACAACATGACAGGCGCACACAAAAATAGGCACATCTAAAGAAATGCTGATAAAAAGATGCACTTGACCACAACAGTGTGTGTGTTTTGTGTGGTGTGTGTGTGTCTTAGTGGTCAGGCTCACAGTGGTGGTCCTGTGAGGAGATGGAGGGGACTCGGATGCAGACAGTGGTTTCCTGTGTGGTTGGGTCTGTGTGGTCGGGCCCGTAGACGTTACTGAAGGAGAGGCACAGGTGCTGCTCCACGGTGCGCAGGCCAAAGTACTTGGTGTTGAGATAGACCAGGGAGCGCAGCAATGCCGCAGGACTCTGCTCCCCCAGCAGCTTACAGCTCCACAGGCACTTCTCCTCCACACAGCCCCACCGAGAGCCTGGGGGCACAGACAGACAGCTGTTAACAACACTGATCACAATACAGTACCTCTGGATATAACATTAACACAAACACTGATCCACACAAAAGGTACACAGTATGAACCCTGCTACAAATGAATGTGGTTTTAAATTGATAATGTCTACAGTGTCCTCATATCATATATATAGTACAATCACTATTATTTCAGAATGTGAACAGCAAAAATAGTTATAATCATTGGACACTGCGGGTAGGTCTTCTATGGAGTTGCAGTTAAAAACATACACTTCCATTAAAGAGCATAGATGGAGTGTATGCTGAAGATAATTCAGGTGATCGACATGTGAATTGAGCAGTGATAAAGTGTGAGTGTATATATTTACCATCAGGCATCACGCTGGGCTGCCAGTCTTTGAGGACCTTGTTGAGCTCCTCTCCAAACGGCTCGTAACATGGGTCACTGAACAGTTCATCTTTCCTGCCTTTGGCCTGCAGATGCTACAGACAAACAAACAAGTAATAAGTCACCAGTAGAGAATAATTGGACTAGGGGAAACTCTTGTGGGAAGCCACACCTAGACCTGGTTATAAGATTGTGAAGAATATAGATGGTGTCCTCATATTTTAAATAGTCAACACCATGTTTCAGGATGTGAACAGCAAAAGTTCTAATCATCGGACACGTCTTAAAAAATATGAAAGGAGAGCGGTGGGAAATAGAGGGGTCTCTTATGATTGATGAGAATTTATGAGAATGAGAACCTGTATGCCACATCGCCATGGTTACACTGTAAATGTATCAGTCAGAACCAAGGCCTCTTCCATCAATCATAAAGGCAGCCCTCTGAGAACTATGACATCATCAGCCAGTCTGACTGACTCCCAGTCCCAACCCTGTATCTCGTCACAAACACCTAGTGCTGCCTGAGGCTATAACAGCCCTCTCCTTTCATGACTGCAGAGAGAAAGATATAGGGGGGCCTGGAGCCATTCTGATCCCTAGCACCTATTCAGTCGATGTTCATAGATCTGTATAGTAGTGGATCAGCCTTACGACAGAAGCTCCATCAGCATATTGCTTTCACCTATACAAGTCTTGTCAGATCTGTGAACACTGTCTGATGGGGGAGGAGCAAAGGGCTGAAAAGCTAAATGGAACCAGGCTACAGAAGGTGACTGAGGAGGAGGAAACTAAACAGGGAGGTGACTGACCTGCTGGATGCCCAGGCAGAGGTAGAGGACGCTGTCGGGGGCGTAGCGCTCTCCGTTGGGCCGCCGTACCTCATGGACGAATCGGGACAGGGCCAGGCTGAGCTCTGACGCTTTCAGAGAGAGCGGGTTACTCTTTGACCGGGCCGGTGGAGATTCTGAGGGAAAATAATTACAATCTCTTACCAACTTAATTATATAGCACCTTTCATTCAGAATGTCCAGTGGTTCCAAGTGCTGTACGATAATAGTTGCTGTGGGCGGAGCTTACTCACCCTGCTTGAGGCCATCTTTCCCTTTAGCGTCGCCTGATTGGTCAGCCGAGGACAGCGCCCACCGTTTCCAGGCGTTGACCCCGTAGCGAGACCTCAGGGGTAGCGAGCGGCCCTCCGTGGGGCCATCTGTCATAGGGGGAGAGGGGGAAGAGGGGTCTCCCGCTACAGCTCGCCTCTTGTGTCCCTGAAACAAACACACAGCTCCTATGATTGGAAATGTATCGGTAGAAGCCTTCGTGTGGGAGATCTTATCCACTCCACCATCTTAGATGTTTATCTTCATAAGAACATCATTCATGGTTTATTATTTCATGTCCTCGTATGAAAAATACCAATCACAGAGTTTTAGTTTATTTCTATTTTTACAGGGACAGTGCACATTAATCAACATTTCAGTAAAAGTGCCGGTTTTAGCCAGCCGGCTCATTTTCAACTGCAGTCCCTGGGCAGGTTGTGAACAGCAATAGAGTTCTAATCGTCGGACACACTTCTGCTTCCAACCGGAGCTATATGAAAGGTTAGCTAGATGAAAGGGGTCAGGGTGGGTAGAGTACCTGTCTCCTGGCTCTGGGTACCTCCTCCTTCTCCTCAGCCAGGAGAGGGGGTAGGGTGATCCCCATATCCACATACAGGCCCTTCAGCGCAGGAACAGGGTCTGGGGCGACAACAGGACACACAGACACAGGTAAGGGATGAGCCAAGTCAAAGCCCACCAGACTGAGTTGGACAAAGGTAGGCAGAGCTAAAGTGAGCCGGACTGAGCTGAACTTATCTGGACCGAACTGTGCTGTGCCAAAGCGAGCCAGACAGATGGAGAGGGAGGTGAATGAGTGAATTAGCAACTGCCCTTATCCGTAAGGGTGGGGGTGAATTGAATCCTCAAACAGCTGTTGTTACATAACTAGCTTCTCTCTAATGAACAAGTAGTCCAGTGCTGCTGGTCACTGGCTCAGTTAGCTAGGTTCTTAGTTGTATTATTATTGTATTCCTATATTATGTAGGTTCTTTATTGTATTATTAGTGTATTCATGTATTAGCTAGGTATGGTAATGTAATTCTACACCTGGCCTTCTGAATGCACTTCTGATTATAAATACACCAAAATAAATCCCTTAGTCCGATAGGAGTGAGGAGTATGACAAGCAGGCAGTCCAGAAATAACCCCTGAGGAATTTTAATCCGAATGACTATATTGTTCCATAATATATAAAAACACACCCATGTGACCTGGTGATATTTTGTAGCACCTCTCCACTGTACTGAGAGACAGAGAGCAGTCAAATAAAATATTTACCGGTCAAAAGTTTTAGAACACCTACTCATTCAAGTTTTTTTGTTTTTGTTGTTGCTATTTTCTACATTGTAGAATAATAGTGAAGACATCAAAACTATGAAACAACACATATGGAATCATATAACCAAAAAAGTGTTAAAACAAATTTGAGATTCTTCAAATAGCCACCCTTTGCCTTGATGACAGCTTTGCACACTCTTGGCATTCTCTCAACCAGCTTCACCTGGAATGCTTTTCCAACAGTCTTGAAGTAGTTCCCACATATGCTGAGCACTTGTTGGCTGCTTTTCCTTCACTCTGCGGTCCGACTCATCCCAAACCATCTCAATTTGGTTGAGGTTAGGGGATTGTGGAGGCCAGGTCATCTGATGCAGCACTCCATAACTCTCCTTCTTTGTAAAATAGCCCTTACACAGCCTGGAGGTCTGTTGGGTCATTGTCCTGTTGAAAAACAAATTAAAGTCCCACTAAGCGCAACAAGATGGGATGGCGTATCGCTGCAGAATGCTGTGTTAGCCATGCTGGTTAAGTGTGCTTTGAATTCTAAATAAATCACAGACAGTGTCACCAGCAAAGCACCCCCACACCATCACACCTCCTCCTCCATGCTTTACGGTGGGAACTACACATGCGGAGATCATCCGTTCACCCACACTGTGTCTCACAAAGACACAGCGGCTGGAACCAAAAATCTCAAATTTGGAATCCAGACCAAAGGACACATTTCCACCGGTCTAATGTCCATTGCTTGTGTTTCTTGGCCCAAGCAAGTCTCTTCTTCTTATTGGTGTCCTTTAGTAGTGGTTTCTTTGCTGCAATTCAACCATGAAGGCCTGATTCACACAGTCTCCTCTGAACAGTTGATGTTGAGATGTGTCTGTTACTTGAACTCCGTGAAGCATTTATTTGGGTTGCAATTTCTGAGGCTGGTAACTCTAATGAACTTATCCTCTGCAGCAGAGGTAACTCTGGGTCTTCCATTCCTGTGGCGGTCCTCATGAGAGCCAGTTTCATCACAGCGCTTGATGGTTTTTGCGACTGCACTTGAAGAAACCTTCAAAGTTCTTGACATTTTCCGGGTTGACTGACCTTCATGTCTTAAAAGTAATGATGGACTGTCGTTTCTCTTTGATTATTTGAGATGTTCTTGCCATAATATGGACTTGGTCTTTTACCAAATAGGGCTATCTTCTGTATACCACCACTACCTTGTCACAACACAACTGATTGGCTCAAACGCATTAAGAAGGAAATAAATTCCACAAATTAACTTTTAAGAAGGCACATCTGTTAATTGAAATGCATTCCCGGTGACTACCTCATGAAGCTGATTGAGAGAATGCCAAGAGTGTGCAAAGCTGTTATCAAGGCAAAGGGTGGCTAATTGAAGAATCTCAAATATAAAATATATATTTTTTGTTTAACACTTTTTTGGTTACTACATGATTTCATATGTGTTATTTCATACTTTTGATGTCTTCACTATTATTCTACAATGTAGAAAATAGTACAAATAAAGAAAAACCCTTGAATGAGTAGGTGTTCTAAAACTTTTGACCGGTAGTGTAATTTTCCACAATAGAGGACAGGACTAGAAAGTGTCTCACAGTGTCAGGGTGGTCAAATGTTGCTCAGTAGTCGTACCTTGAGGAAAGTCTTTCTCCAGGTCCAGATCTGGTTCATACTTCTCCTCCTCAGCCTCTGATTCAGAGCTGCTGCTACTGGAGCTGCTGGACCTGGCCTCTCCTTCTCCTCGCTCCCTCTTCACCTTCACATCTGAAACAGTCACACAACAATCAACCTTTTATCTGTGGCAGCTTGCAGTGATGTGGAAGAGAGGTGCTTCCCGTTCAGGTAGACAAAGATGCATACCGGTAGCCATGGATAAAGAAGCTCCATGGTTTGTTTCATGTCCTCATATAACAAAATACCAATCACAGAGTTTCAGGATGTGAACAGCAATAGAGTTCTAATCATCGGACACACTTAAAAGTATTTGAGTCACGCTTGATTTGGTTCAGAGTTTGCAATTTTGGAACTGGGGATGTGTAGCTCAGCTGGTAGAGCATGGTGCTTGTAACGCCAGGGTAGTCGGTTCGATTCCCGGGACCACACACACACAAAATGTATTCACGCATGATTCTAAGACGCAGAGTTTGCTAAATGGCATATATTAAGTCAGTACCTGGCTTTCTGTGTGTGTGTGTGTACCTGGCTTCTGGTCAGCCTCATGGGGGTCAGTGGGGACTTTGGCCTTCAGCTTGTTGATGGTCTGGACAATCTGCTCTGTACCCTGCAGTGTGCTGGGCAGGAACACCGGCACTGGAACCTGAGGGACGGACAGAGACCACTGGTTGGTTAGCGACTGTTCATATGTTAAATACTTGAAAGACTAATTTGAGAGTAAATATCTGCTCCACCTTGTTATTTTCATAACAAGAGCATTATCCATGGTTGTCCTCATATTTACAAAATACCAATCACAGAGTTTCAGGATGTGAACAGCAATGGAGTTCTAATCATCGGACACACTTCTGCATACAATTATTCCGGATTTGCACTTTTGGGACTATTCCATTGGCTTCTTACCGGGATGGGTAGTGTGATGGGAATGGGTGTGATCTGGGCGTAGAGGTTCATGGGGACTGGGATGAACACGGGTACAGGGATGGGCACGGGAATGTACTCCCTCTTCACCCCGTCATCCTCATCTGGAGACAGACACACAGGTCAAAGGTCAAACCAAGGACATACTACTTCGTGGGAGATGTCATGTGCTGTACATTTCAAACTACAATTTCTCAAACAGTAATATTGTGGTGTGTACCTGTCTGTAGGAGCTTGCTCTGCATGTGTGGTTTGCAGTAGGTGGCCTTGGTCATAGTGAGAGGCTTGCAGAGTACAGCTTTATTCTTCACATCCTTTAGGATCCCTCCACCAGTGTACGGCTGACTCAACATCTAGTAGATAGGAAGGATAACAGATGATACTTGTTAAAGAAGGAGAATTATATTCTTTACCTAACAGTCAGCTGTGCTGTAACGATTATAGGGTTCAAACATGAAGTACTTTTTTCTCACCGCAATGTTGGTTGCCTCAGTTTGTATTCCAAATCCTGTCAATAGAAAACATGGTTCCGTAAGTCAAACACACAGATGCACTTGTTTTAAAAAAGACTAAATGCACAAAAATTAGTACCAAGTCTGGTGTTCTCTGGGCCCTTCTGCGTTGCCAGGTTGGGTTCGTTCTGCTGGCAGTAAAAGCGGAGGAGACAATGCTGGTCACAGAAGTGCTTCATCTCTGCTCTCCACTGCACCGACTCAGTCAGGTTCCCTTGCACCTTACAGCAGTCACAGCGTGCCGCCTGGTGGACATAATGGGAAACACACACAAATCAAATCACCTCCTGGAGGCACAATTTTGAGAAATATGATTTTTCATAGTGAGACTGATTTAGGTACGCGCTCTGACCTTGTAGTACCACTCGTGGAACTTCTTGGCGCAGGTTTCACTGCAGAAGTCCCTGGACACCCCGTCCAGCTGCCTGGTCACCCCTCTCTTACACAGCTGAGTGCAGTAGTTACAGGTGACACACTTCAGACCCAGCCGCTTGGCAAAGTCCTGCTTGAACAGCAGCTTACAACCTGAGGGGAAATAGGGACAACAACGTTTAGAGGTTACACGATGTCAAGTGACAAACTGTAGCTCAACTCATGTGTTGTGTGGGTAAAGTAGGGCTGGGCGATATGGCAAGTTTTTTCAAACTTCTGGGCGATTCATGATATATATCTACTTTTTAAAAATGTTTTCTCTAAATACGCTTTGTTGTACAATTAAAGGTCAAATATACTGCATTTCAAACAAACTAATGAATTCAGGGCCTGTGAAGTTATACCCAGGCTAAATATAAGCCTTCCACAACCATAAGACCCACTAATAATGTAATTATTTCATCAAAATAGATCAACTTGCTTTTTTGCAATAATCACTGATCTGGCTTTCAAGTCCGTCTATTAAAATGCAATTTTTTGTTACAAATTTAACCAGAACCATGCATTATGCACATTCACTAATAATGACTAACTTCTTCTAGCAGGCATTAAGCTATAGAAAAGTAACCCAGATCTCAAACAATGCCACGCGACAACCTGAGCATTCATTTTCCAGAATCAATGTTCATTGAACTCTCGTTTTAGTAGTGTCTGCTCTGCACGTAATTTGACTAGTTGAGACATAAAAACGGTATCGTTAGAAAGGTTAACTTCTCCTCTATTACAGTAAAATAATGTCTCAATGTGTTTCGGTCTCCATATGACCGATTCTGTTGGACCAAACGTCAAATGCAAATAGCGAGTTGAAACCGTTTGTCAGAGAGGAAGAAGTGATCTCTCATCTTTGTTGTTGTGAGTGGCAGAGGGAAGGGCTTGGTGTGTGGGGGAGGAGCTTGGTGTGTTTGTGTAAACTAGAGGAAGAGGCAAAGCGAGATGTTTCACTCTCGCTAAAATATTTCCAAAATAAGCCCAATGCGTTTCTATGGGCTTATTTTGGACCTAAGCTTGTAGCCTGCCTTCCCGCCTTTGGGACAACGACTGCCATTGTTAGGAAGGAAGCATGTGCATCTCGTCATTATATACAGATCTCTGGTGTAAATGGGAAGGTGCACAGCACAGAAGGAGCGAAGGAGACGAGACCAAAAAGACAACAAGCGGACATAAAATAAAACTTGATTCTTGCGATACAGGCATTTGGAATATCACGCAAAAAAAACAAAAATTAGAATGAATCGAATTCATTCTATATATCGCCCAGCCCTAGGGTAAAGTGCCCCAGCTAGTGGCAAAACATGTCAAGAACAGGGAGAAATATGGGATGAGGACAAGTATTATTCACTCTGGGTTCTCTCACTCTCCCAATCAAAACAGACTAGCTGACAAGGACACAGATTAGGGAGTGAGAGCATTGTCGGACCTTCGCTGCAGAAAGGCCTCTTGACCCCGGAAAACTTGACCGTCTCGTGGAGCGTCTTCTCCTCCTGGCAGTACTCGCAGAAGGTGACGATGCAGTGCAGCTTCTTGTAGTCCTCACAACATATCTTACTGCAGAACTGGTACACTTTATCCTGCGGGGAAAAATAGATACCCACACAATGTTGAATGCTCCTGCATATTTAATTGAGGTTTGACCACTTGATATTTATCCTGGACACAGAGGGAGAGGTGGAGCATGTACACTCACAGGCTTCAACAGAAAGGTGTACAATTAACTTTGATGCTAAATTTTTGTGTTATATTTTACATTTACATTTTAGTCATTTAGCAGACGCTCTTATCCAGAGCGACTTACAGTTGAAAAATATATATATATTTTACCTTTATTTAACTAGGCAAGTCAGTTAAGAACAAATTCTTATTTACAATGACGGCCTTAGTGAGTGCATACATTTTATATAAACCAAGTTCATGACCACAAAGTTAATTTACCTCCCACTCCAAGGTTTCAGGCTTTAGGCTGAATGCTCCTCGACAGTAATTACATTTGAGCTGGATGTTGTGGTTCATTGTAGACAGGGGAGCCTGTCCATTGGTTACTGTTTGAATGGTTGCATTCTGAAGAGAGAAATAAACATTTCCTTGAGCTGCAGGAAACTAGATAAGGTACCCAGAAAGTCAGGGAGTTTTTAATTGTTTAGTTGCAATGCATGCACTAAACATGTTCTTTCTAACTTGAAACCTAACTGTCAGTAGGCTTTTAGAATTCTTATTCAAATGTTTTTTCCTGGTTAACAAGGTGATATTTTAAATAATAAAGAAAGGAGTCAGTACATACCTGAAACTTGGTGACACACGTTGAGCTGCAGAAGTTTAGTACATTCCCCTCAAGCAGCGTGGCCTGGTACTGAGGTAACGATGTCTTGTTACAGAAGTGACACGTGGGCTCCGAGTCTGCAAAGGAACAAAAACACCCCTTGACACATAACCTTCCTAAACACAGTATGATTAACTCCCGAGTGGCGCAGTGGTCTAAGGCACTGCATCGCAGTGCTAGCTGTGCCACTAGAGACCCTGGTTCGAATCCAGGCTCTGCTGTAGCCGGCCGCAACCGGGAGACCAATGGGGCAGCGCACAATTGGCCCAGCGTCGTCCAGGGTAGGGGAGGGAATGGCAGGCAGGGAGGTAGCTCAGTTGATAGAGCATGGCGTTTGCAACGCCAGGGTTGTGGGTTCGTTTCCCACGGGGGGCCAGTATGAAAAATAATAATGTATGCACTAACTGTAAGTCGCTCTGGATAAGAGCGTCAGCTAAATGACGTAAATGTAAATGTATGATCAAATGTAGGTACTGTAAGTCCCAGCACCTTCATAATTGTACTTGCTGTCCTGCACCCACACACCCATGCATATGTACACAGAAGAAAATTATACAACTTCGACTACCACATATACCACATCCCACACATCAAAGCAACCACACCATCAGTCAGTGTGAATGACGTAAGATGTGGGCTCACTGGAGAGTGAGAGTGGCAGTGCTCTAATATGTGGCAGGTAGCCTTGCTGTTAAGAGCGTTGGGCCAGCAACCGAAAAGTTGCTGGTTCGAATCCCCGAGCCGACTAGGTGAAAAATCTATCATTGTGCATTTGAGCAAGGCACAACCCTAATTGCTCCTGTAAGTCGCTCTGGATAAGAGTGTTTGCTAAATTACTAAAATGTAAATGTGTGAGACGGGGTTCAATTCAGAAAGTGAAACTATAATCCAAGTAATAAAGTGAAAATTGAGGACAGTGATGCACTGATGGTGAGGTATAAACAAATACTAACTGAGGACAGTGGTAGAGGCGCTGGCAATCTTGGTCTTGTTCATGCAGGCTGTGGAGCAGTATGGTTCCATGGTGCCGCTGGCCCCGATACAGTGAGTGACTTCACTAGACCTGACCATGGCACTACAGCCAGTACACGTCGTCATCTTAGAGTGGGGCTAGAGGAATAAGGGAATACAAATACATTGCCTTCAGAAAGTATTCATACCCCTTGACTTTTTCCACATTTTGTTGTGTTACAGCCTGAATTTAAAATTGATTAAATTGAGATTTGTTTGTCACTAGCCTACACACAATACCCCATAATGTCAAAGTGTCATATTTTGGGGGGGAATTTTTACAAATTAATTAAAAGTGAAAAGCTGAAATCTAAGTATTCAACCCCTTTGTTATGGCAATAATAAATACATTCAGGAGTAATAATTAACTTAACAAGCCACATAATAAGTTGCATGGACTCACTCTGTGTGCAATAATAGTGTTTAACATGATTTTTGAACACATACAATTATCTGTAAGGTCTCTCAGTCGAGCAGTGAATTTCAAACACAGATTCAACCACAAAGACCAGGGAGATTTTCCAATGCCTTGCAAAGAAGGGCACATATTGGTAGATGAGTAAAAAAAAAAGCTGACATTGAATATACCTTTGAGCATGGTGAAGTTATTCATTACACATTGGATGGTGTATCAATACACCCAGTCAGTATAAAGATGCAGGCGTCCTTCCTAACTCTGTTGCTGGAGAGGAAGGAAACCTCTCAGGGATTTCACCATGAGGGCAATTGTGACTTTAAAACAGTTACAGAGTTTAATGGCTGTGATAAGAGAAAACTGATGATGGATCAACAACATCGTTTGCAACAACGCACTAAAGTAATACTGCAAATAAATGTGGCAAAGCAATTCACTTTTTGTCCTGAATACAAATCCAATACAACACATTACTGAGTACCACTCTCCATATTTTCAAGCATAGTGGTGGCTGCATCATGTTATGGGTATGCTTGTAATTGTTAAGGACTGGAGAGTTTTTCAGGATAAAAAATAAACTAAATGGAGCTCTGCACAGGCAAAATCCTAGAGGAAAATCTGGTTTAGTCTGCTTTCCACCAGACACTGGGAGATGAATTCACCTTTCAGCAGGACAATAACCTAAAACACAATGTAAAATCTACACTGGTGTTGTTTACCACTAATACAGTGAATGTTCCTGAGTGGCCGAGTTAGAGAATTGACTCTTAAATCTACTTGAAACTATATGGCAAAACCTGAAAATGGTTGTCTAGCAATGATCAACAACCAATTTGACAGAGCTTGAAGAATTCTGAAAATAATAAATGGGCAAATGTTGCACAATCCAGGTGTGGCAAGACTCACAGCTGTAATCACTGCCAAAGGTGCTTCTACAAAGTATTGACTCAGGGGTGTGAATACTTATGTAAATGAGATATTTCTGTATTTCATCTTCAATACATTTGCGAAAAGAATATTAAACATGTTTTCACTTTGTCATTATGGGGTATTGTGTGTAGAGGGGTGAGAGAAAAATAAATATTTAATCCACTTTGTATTCAGGCTGTAACACAACAACATGTGGAATAAGTCAAGGGGTATGAATACTTTCTGAAGGCACTGTATTTGTAGACATGTGACATAACTTTATGAATAACATCCAAGACAGATACTACTGTTAACAAATATCAATGTGTCCTGTTGCCACAAGGGGACACAAAACTTGTGAATTGGGCCGTCATCGCAGTGTTAACTTTGCCACTATTTTTTTTATTTAGTCTAGTCTTAGTCATTTTCACAAAAATATACTTAAGTCATATGTTTATCATTTGAATAATGATTTAGTGTAGTTATTGTCAAACTGACTAAAACAGTGGGACATTTTAGTCAAAAGAGAGAGAAAGAGTAGCACAATCACCAGAGTGTGCAGAAAAATATTGGCAAAGTAGTATAGGTTGCACCTCCATCACTCGGTCGCGTCATTGCCATTGTTATCAACGTTCCACAGACACCACAGCCACATTGATGTCCAAAAGAAGAACGGGAGCTAATGACTGTTTCGCCCGGTGATGTAGTCGAGTCACTAAACCTTGAGTCCGAATCGAGTCCCAAGTCCCCTGTGCTCGAGTTCCAGTCACGAGTCCCTAGGCTGAAGTCATGTCTGAGTCACTGGGTCCACATTAACTCAAAATAAAAAAGTTATTTACCCAGTCAGATATAGTGTAGTAGCTTAGTGGCTAAGAGCGTTGTGCCAGTAACCGAAAGGTCGCTGGTTCTAATCCCCGAGCCGACTAGGTGAAAAATCTGTCGATGTGCCCTTGAGCAAGGCACTTAACCCTAATTGCTCCTGTAAGTCGCTCTGGATAAGAGCGTCTGCTAAATGACAAATTATTATTATTAATTATTATAGTCAATAAATCGTTTGCTATCCCTTTTCCCTTCTGCCTGTACCACCAAATGTTTGCTTTTAGGCTACTGGTAATGTTACCAGGAAAACGCTCAGTTGAAAAACGCTCTCGAACGTTGCAGATAGAAATTCCATGAATTAGGCCGACGTTATTCCTTATTCACACATTAGAGAGGCATGTTTGTTCTACATAGCATATTTCTATCTGAACGTTTCAAAACGTTCCGTCCTGCTGAACGAGCCCCAGGTCGATAGCTATAGCTAGCTAATGAGGTAACATGACTGAACAAGGTGTAGCCTAAACAAATGGTTAATGGTCCGGTCTGCAAGTAGCCTAGTTTTACGGCAGAAATCTATCTAGCATGTTGGGGGTGATGAAACAACGGAGCCCCATTCATTTTCAATGAAGGGAAGCTAAGTGGGCGGGGGGAATGAAGGGAAGCTAAGTGGGCGGGGGGAATGAAGGGAAGCTAAGTGGGCGGGGGGAATGAAGGGAAGCTAAGTGGGCGGGGGGAATGAAGGGAAGCTAAGTGGGCGGGGGGAATGAAGGGAAGCTAAGTGGGAGGGTGGACCGTTTGGCGATGCGAGCATGGGCGAGGGAGCATGAACAGGGCGGGACCAAAGCTGGGAAAAGCTTAACTTTTGTTGCGTACTCCGCGACATTGTGCTGCTATTGAGTAATCAAAGCTCACTACTGGATTGGCTGTTGATACCTAGCATTACCTTGCCTGTTTGCTAGCACCGACATGAGAGCGGAGCTAGAGTGGCTATCCTTATAGTGGATCACTGCTGTTAAATTGGCTCACGATATGCTTTATGAATGTAAAATGCGGCCAGCTTCTTAACCAGGCAAAGGGTAGCTAACTTGAAGGCTGGTGGTGACTGGTTAGCTTAGGTGAAGCAAGAGAGTCGCCTACGCGATGTGTATTATCGGAGGCGGAGCCGGAGCGGTGCCTGTCTGCCCACACTCCAACGCTTACTTCCCCGCAGCTCACCAGCTGATGTAGGCTGTGTTTGCTGGGTGTGACGCGTCCTTCCCACTGCTGAACAGAACTGCGTTGCGCATCTGTGCTGCTAATATTAATTGTGCTTATCACTGAAAAGCTCTCAATCTCTCCAAAATGAGTAAACTGAAATGAAAAAGCATTTTTTTATTAAGTCAGTTATAGTCTTGTCAATTGCCACTTAAAAATAGGTGTTTGACAAATATTTTAGTCACTATTTTTGTTGACGAAATTAACACTGCGTCATCATCATGTTACACTCTCAGCGGGATGCGTAAGGGAACACCAGGGAAAGGCTGGTTGGTGCAGCCTGGCTTTTAACCTGCTTGTAATCCCTGATAAAGTTCTGACTGTCTGTTATGTGCTTGTAGTCCCTGACACATTCTAGCTGTTACCTGCTTGTAATCCCTGATATAGTTCTTACTGTCTGTTACCTGCTTGTAATCCCTGATACATTCTAGCTGTTACCTGCTTGTAATCCCTGATACACTTCTGACTGTCTTTTACCTGCTTGTAATCCCTGATACATTCTAGCTGTTACCTGCTTGTAATCCCTGATACACTTCTGACTGTCTGTTATGTGCTTGTAGTCCCTGACACATTCTAGCTGTTACCTGCTTGTAATCCCTGATATAGTTCTTACTGTCTGTTACCTGCTTGTAATCCCTGATACATTCTAGCTGTTACCTGCTTGTAATCCCTGATACACTTCTGACTGTCTTTTACCTGCTTGTAATCCCTGATACATTCTAGCTGTTACCTGCTTGTAATCCCTGATACACTTCTGACTGTCTGTTACCTGCTTGTAATCCCTGATACACTTATGACTGGCTGTTACCTGCATGTAATCCCGCATACAGTTCTGACTGACTGTTACCTACTTGTAATCCCTGATACTGTTCTGACTGGCTGTTACCTGTTTGTAATCCCGCATACAGTTCTGACAAGCTCTTACCTGCTTGTAATCCCGCATACAGTTCTGGCAGCAGAAGCGTTTCTGCTTGCCGTCGATGATGAGAAAGTGGTTGGCAGTGGCGCGGCTGGGCAGGTATTCACCACACTGCTCACAGCAGTTCACGATGAGCCCGTTGGCCATGCGGTAACGGTTGAAACAGGCATCGCTGCATATCTTATGGGTGACCGTTTTGAAGCTCACCTCATGGCGGATCTGTTATGAGGAAAGAAAGAATGATTTATAATAATGTGTGTGAAAATTCAATCATATTGAATGAATACACTGGCAAGGGGTGAGATCGGTGTGAGATTCTAGCTGGTGGCTGGCTGATGTTGTTGTGGTTGTTTATAAACGTTCCATTGTCAGATGGGAACCACCCTCCATTTTGATGCCAACTGTTTTCCATGCAGTAACCATGGACACCAGGCTCAAGGCCTGGACAGACACAGTGGATGAGAAACTGTGCCGTCGGCAGCCATGTTGGAGGGAGAGCGAGTGGAATGCGTCTCATATACTCAGTCCCAAATCGACCCCTACCCACTTCTGTTGATCTAAGACAGGGATGGCCCCCCTTTTTTAGGCCGGCGGATCAATTTCCCCCCTACAAAAAAAGAAAAAAAAAGTGTATTTTCAATTTTTAGGAACTCAGTCAGTGTCTCAACTTAATGTTGAGAGTTAGAATAGTAGAATACACAAGGTGCAATTTCGACATTCGGTTGTGCATCAGTAGTTTTTCTTAGGGGTGTGCCGAGTACCCAGACAAAACGAGTATCGTAAAAAGGTATCGTAACGGATATGGAGAATTTTCCGAATACGATTATGACACTAGTATTTATTTATTTATTTATCCTTGATCAGAAAAAAATATTTTCAGCTGCCAGCACGCATCTCTCTTCCACTCAAACAGTGTGAAGCGCTGTGTACTGTAACCCACTATTGGCTAGTTCATCTGTCTGTAAAGATACGGGAGGGGTATCGGTTGAGAAACAACATTTCACTTAGGGGCAGGCCTGGAATTTCGTGATTTTAGGGGCAAGGCCATTTGGCCTTCAAGAGGTGTCCAATCTGCCAGGGCACCAAGGCCATCTGCTAGGGCACCAAGGCCATTAACCAAAATAGCAACATGTAAAGTGTTGGTCGCATGTTTCATGAGCTGAAATAAAAGATCCCAGAAATGTTCCATGCGCTTTAAAAGCTATTTTTTTCTAAAATGTGGTGCACAAATATGTTTACATCCCTGTTAGTGAGCATTTCTCCTTTGCCAAGATAATCCATCCACCTGACAGGTTTGGCATATCAAGAAGCTGATTAAACTGAATGCTCATTACACAGGTGCACCTTGTGCAGGGGACAATAAAAGGGCACTAAAATGTTTTGTCACACAACACGTCACAGATCTCAAGTTTTGAGGGAGCGTGCAATTGGCATGCTGCAGGAATGTCCACCAGAGCTGTTGGCAGAGAATTGAATGTTAATTTCTCAACCATAAGCCGCCACCAACTTTTTTTTAGAGGATTTGGCAGTACGTCCAACCGGCCTCATAAATGCTGACCACATGTAACCAGACCAGAACCTCCACATCCGGCTTCTTCACCTGCGGGATCGTCTGAGACCAGCCACCCGGACAGCTGATGAAACTGTGGGTTTGCACAACTGATTAATTTCTGCACAAACTGTCGGAAACCGTCTCAGGGAAGCTCATCTGCATGCTCGTCGTCCTCACCAGGGTCTTGACCTGACTGCAGTTCGGCGTCGTAACCGACTTCAGTGGGCAAATGCTCACCTTCAAAAGGGCACTGCACATGCGAGCGGTTTTATTTGACAGATGAAAATATCCATTCGAAATTTAGAAATAGGGGAGATCTAATATGCAACAACTAGCATTGGTTGCTAATATGACTAGGATTGTGCCTTTGGCTACTGGACAATGAAAGGAAATTGATATAAAATAATTGCCTCCAAGGATGTGGTCTGATTTTGGTTAGGCTACTTTGAAGCACGGTAAGACATGCCTCATAATATGTATTATAACATTCAGGTTTCAAACAATTACAGTGGGGGAAAAAATAATTTAGTCAGCCACCAATTGTGCAAGTTCTCCCACTTAAAAAGATGAGAGAGGCCTGTAATTTTCATCATAGGTACACGTCAACTATGACAGACAAATTGAGAATTTTTTTTCCAGAAAATCACATTGTAGGATTTTTAATGAATTTATTTGCAAATTATGGTGGAAAATAAGTATTTGGTGACCTACAAACAAGCAAGATTTCTGGCTCTCACAGACCTGTAACTTCTTCTTTAAGAGGCTCCTCTGTCCTCCACTCGTTACCTGTATTAATGGCACCTGGTTGAACTTGTTATCAGTATAAAAAGACACCTGTCCACAACCTCAAACAGTCACACTCCAAACTCCACTATGGCCAAGACCAAAGAGCTGTCAAAGGACACCAGAAACAAAATTGTAGACCTGCACCAGGCTGGGAAGACTGAATCTGCAATAGGTAAGCAGCTTGGTTTGAAGAAATCAACTGTGGGAGCAATTATTAGGAAATGGAAGACATACAAGACCACTGATAATCTCCCTCGATCTGGGGCTCCACGCAAGATCTCACCCTGTGGGGTCAAAATGATCACAAGAACGGTGAGCAAAAATTCCAGAACCACACGGGGGGACCTAGTGAATGACCTGCAGAGAGCTGGGACCAAAGTAACAAAGCCTACCATCAGTAACACACTACGCCGCCAGGGACTCAAATCCTGCAGTGCCAGACATGTCCCCCTGCTTAAGCCAGTACATGTTAGGGAGTGTGGAGCACGGGTGAGGTCGTCGGGTCGTCGGGTAAGCTTGGCTTTATACATAGTTTGGGCTTTGTCGAGTAAGGCTTAAACTATGTATTTAGATTGTAGTTAGGTATTGTAGTTAGGTATTGTAGGTAGTTATCGTGGGTTGTTGTATGTAATTATTGTAGGTTAGTATTGTATTCGGCTGAGCCCGGTGAAGCACGAAGCTAGCTGGCTAACCCACTACCTAGCGGGTAGCTACTGGCAACTATTAGCAACGGTATAGTTGTTTCACGCCTGAGAGTGCCTGTAATTACGCCAGCTGGCTGCCTACAATAATTACATACAATAATTGCCTACCATTCAGCTGTTTTCTAACCTCATTGTCTGAACTGTTAACGTTAGGTAGTAAGTGGCTACTGTGCTTGAACTTTAGCTAGCTTGTTGCTACCTGGATAGCAACTAGTAAACAATAGCTGGAACGACCTAGCGAACAGACGCGAACAGGCTGAGTCAATTCAGTGGCTAGCTTTGCACTTGGCTAGCTAACAGTAGCTGCTAGGGGTAAGTCATAACCTACATTTGTTTTATTTTTACATATTGGTAGCTAGAGTCGTTCAAGGAATTCGGGACATGGGTGACTAGTTAACGTTAGTTTGGCTCTCTCTGTGTGTTCGTGCCGTGAAAGGAGGGGTTTCTTCTTTGTCTGAAAGCAATGGCTAGCTAGTATGCTAACTATTCTAGCTAACTAACTGGCTGAATAAGTTGACGACGGAGTCGCTCAAGCTGTCGGGACTAACCCACAACGTTAGACACGGACACGAACGTGTTGACACACTGGTGGTTTGTTGTGGCCGAGTATTGGTGCTAAACCGTGTTGTTGGAGTCCGGCATGCTAGCTGGCTGTGGCGTCTTATGACTAGGTGCCCTGGACAATTTTCACAGAAGAATACTGTACCTAGTTAGCTAGCTGAATAAACTAAGTTAGTCTATTCCTAGAAAACATTGAACCGCTGTAGTTTACAACAATTATAGTTTCTGAGGTGGAAGTTGGGAGAGCTATATTTGGGTGTTGTGGTGAGGGAGGCCCCGCTCTCTCCTTTCCCAGATGTTTAGTTCATTTCATTCCGATCTCCTTTGCATTATTGTAGCCATTTTCTGCAGCCTGTCAACTATGCCTCTGTCTATCCCTGTTCTCTCCTCTCCGCACAGGCTATACAAACGCCTCACACCACGTGGCTGCTACCTCTCTAACCTGGTGGTCCCTGCACGCACCACCCACGTGGAGTTCCAGGTCTCGGGCAGCCTCTGGAACTGCCGTTCTGCTGCCAACAAGGCAGAGTTCATCTCAGCCTATGCTACCCTCCAGTCCCTCGACTTCTTGGCGCTGACGGAAACATGGATTACCACTGAAAACACTGCTACTCCTACTGCTCTCTCCTCGTCTGACCATGTGTTCTCGCATACCCCGAGAGCATCTGGTCAGCGGGGTGGTGGCACAGGAATCCTCATCTCTCCCAAATGGACATTCTCTATTTTTCCCCTGACCCATCTGTCTATCTCCTCATTTGAATTCCATGCTGTCACAGTCACTAGCCCATTTAAGCTTAATATCCTTGTCATCTATCGCCCTCCAGGTTCCCTTGGAGAGTTCATCAATGAGCTTGATGTCTTGATAAGTTCCTTTCCTGAGGATGGCTCACCCCACAGAGTTCTGGGGGACGTCAACCTCCCTACGTCTACCTTTGACTCATTTCTCTCTGCCTCCTTCTTTCCACTCCTCTCCTCTTTTGACCTCACCCTCTCACCATCCCCCCCTACTCACAAGGCAGGCAATACGCTTGACCTCATCTTTACTAGATGCTGTTCTTCTACTAATCTCACTGCAACTCCCCTCCATGTCTCCGACCACTACTTTGTATCCTTTTCTCTCTCGCTCTCCTCCAACACTACTCACTCTGCCCCTACTCAGATGGTAATGCACCGTCGCAACCATCGCTCTCTCTCCCGCTACTCTCTCCTCTTCCATCCTATCATCTCTTCCCTCTGCTAAATCCTTCTCCCTCCAATCTCCTGATTCTGCCTCCTCAACCCTCCTCTCCTCCCTTTCTGCATCCTTTGACTCTCTATGTCCCCTATCCTCCCGGCAGGCTCGGTCCTCCCCTCCAGCTCCGTGGCTTGATGACTCATTGCGAGCTCACAGAACAGGGCTCCGGGCAGCCGAGCGGAAATGGAGGAAAACTAGACTCCCTGCGGACCTGTCATCTTTTCACTCCCTCCTCTCTACATTTTCTTCATCTGTTTCTGCTGCTAAGGCCACTTTCTACCACTCTAAATTCCAAGCATCTGCCTCTAACCCTAGGAAGCTCTTTGCCACCTTCTCCTCCCTGCTGAATCCTCCTCCCCCCTCCTCCCTCTCTGTGGATGACTTCGTCAACCATTTTGAAAAGAAGGTTGACAACATCCGATCCTCGTTTGTTAAGTCAAATGACACTGCTGGTCCTGCTCACACTGCCCTACCCTATGCTTTGACTTCTTTCTCCCCTCTCTCTCCAGATAAAATCTTGCGACTTGTGACGGCCGGCCGCCCAACAACCTGCCCGCTTGATCCTATCCCCTCCTCTCTTCTCCAGACCATCTCCGGTGACCTTCTCCCTTACCTCACCTCGCTGATCAACTCATCCTTGACCGCTGGATATGTCCCTTCCGTCTTCAAGAGAGCGAGAGTTGCACCCCTTCTCAAAAAACCAACACTCGATCCCTCTGATGTCAACAACTACAGACCAGTATCCCTTCTTTCTTTTCTCTCAAACTATTGAGCGTGCCGTCTTTAGCCAACTCTCTTGCTATCTCTCTCAGAATGACCTTCTTGATCCAAACCAGTCAGGTTTAAAGACTGGTCAACTGAGACTGCTCTTCTCTGTGTCACGGAGGCTCTCCGCACTGCTAAAGCTAACTCTCTCTCCTCTGCTCTTGTCCTTCTAGACCTATCTGCTGCCTTTGATACTGTGAACCATCAGATCCTCCTCTCCACCCTCTCCGAGCTGGGCATCTCCGGCGCGGCTCACTCTTGGATTGCGTCCTACCTGACCGGTCGCTCCTACCAAGTGGCGTGGCGAGAAGCTGTCTCCGCACCACGTGCTCTCACCACTGGTGTCCCCCAGGGCTCAGTTCTAGGCCCTCTCCTATTCTCGCTATACACCAAGTTACTTGGCCCTGTCATATCCTCACATGGCCTCTCCTATCATTGCTACGCAGACGACACACAACTAATCTTCTCCTTTCCCCCTTCTGATAACCAGGTGGTGAATCGCATCTCTGCATGTCTGGCAGACATATCAGTATGGATGACGGATCACCACCTCAAGCTGAACCTTGGCAAGACGGAGCTGCTCTTCCTCCCGGAGAAGGACTGCCCGTTCCATGATCTCGCCATCACGGTTGACAACTCCGTTGTGTCCTCCTCCCAGAGTGCGAAGAGCCTTGGCGTGACCCTGGACAACACCCTGTCGTTCTCCGCTAACATCAAGGCGGTGACCCAATCCTGTAGGTTCATGCTCTACAACATTCGGAGAGTACGACCCTGCCTTACACAGGAAGCGGCACAGGTCCTAATCCAGGCACTTGTCATCTCCCGTCTGGATTACTGCAACTCGCTGTTGGCTGGGCTCCCTGCCTGTGCCATTGAACCCCTACAACTCATCCAGAATGCCGCAGCCCGTCTGGTGTTCAACCTTCCCAAGTTCTTTCACGTCACCCCGCTCCTCCGCACACTACACTGGCTTCCAGTTGAAGCTCGCATCTGCTACAAGACCATGGTGCTTGCCTACGGAGCTGTGAGGGGAACGGCACCTCCGTACCTTCAGGCTCTGATCAGTCCCTACACCCAAACGAGGGCATTGCGTTCATCCACCTCTGGCCTGCTGGCTCCCCTATCTCTGCTGAAGCACAGTTCCCGCTCAGCCCAGTCAAAACTGTTCGCTGCTCTGGCACCCCAATGGTTATCCCACTGGCTATAAGGTGAATGCACCAATTTGTAAGTCGCTCTGGATAAGAGCGTCTGCTAAATGACGTAAATGTAAATGTAATGTCCAGGCCCATCTGAAGTTTGCTAGAGTGCATTTGGATGATCCAGAAGAGGATTGGGAGAATGTCATATGGTCAGATGAAACCAAAATAGAACTTTTTGGTAAAAACTCAACTCGTCGTGTTTGGAGGACAAAGAATGCTGAGTTGCATCCAAAGAACACCATACCTACTGTGAAGCATGGGGGTGGAAACATCATGCTTTGGGGCTGTTTTTCTGCAAAGGGACCAGGACGACTGATCCGTGTAAAGGAAAGAATGAATGGGGCCATGTATCGTGAGATTTTGAGTGAAAACCTCCTTCCATCAGCAAGGGCATTGAAGATGAAACGTGGCTGGGTCTTTCAGCATGACAATGATCCCAAACACACCGCCCGGGCAACGAAGGAGTGGCTTCGTAAGAAGCATTTCAAGGTCCTGGAGTGGCCTAGCCAGTCTCCAGATCTCAACCCCATAGAAAATCTTTGGAGGGAGTTGAAAGTCCGTGTTGCCCAGCGACAGCCCCAAAACATCACTGCTCTAGAGGAGATCTGCATGGAGGAATGGGCCAAAATACCAGCAACATTGTGTGAAAACCTTGTGAAGACTTACAGAAAACGTTTGACCTGTGTCATTGCCAACAATGGGTATATAACAAAGTATTGAGAAACTTTTGTTATTGACCAAATACTTATTTTCCACCATAATTTGCAAATAAATTCATTAAAAATCCTACAATGTGATTTTCTGGATTTTTTTTTCTCATTTTGTCTGTCATTGTTGACGTGTACCTATGATGAAAATTACAGGCCTCTCTCATCTTTTTAAGTGGGAGAACTTGCACAATTGGTGGCTGACTAAATACTTTTTTCCCCCACTGTAAGTATACGTTTTCTAAATCCATTCAGCCTCCAGCTCATTGCAAAGTGGTGTGTGACACCTTATATTTGACATTTTTGTCATTTAGCAGACGCTCTTATCCAGAGCAACTTACAAATTGGTGCATTCACCTTATGATAGCCAGTGGGACAACCACTTTACAATATATATAATTGTATATATGTTTAGGCTACACCATATTCTGTTGCCTATTGCCGCGTTCACGTGCTAGTCGGAACTAGGAAACTGACATTTCCGACTTGCTAACTGGTTGTAGTTCTACACGTGCCGCGTTCAACCAGTTAGAAAGTACAACATTTCCGAGTTCCGACTAGCACGTGAACGCGGCGTATGCATTTACTGTTTGAGATGCTGTAGCAGGAGCTCTAGCGCTGTCTGACAGATTTTCTGCTCAAGGGCTCTGTATCAGTATGCTAAACGCGTGTGATAAATAAGTTACATAATTAATATACTGTATACTGCCAATTTAATTCCACTAAATTATGCAAATTAACCTATAGACCGATAAGCATGACCAGTCAAATGTATTGGTATATCTATTGGTATTTCCATCAATGAATAGGCTAAAAAGCATTATTTCGCAATGGGATTTTTTCTTGTTCTCCCGGACAATTTGTCGGCGCCAAGTTTATTTATTGGCTTTCAATTCTTATTTTTTTCCGTTAGCTATCCCTGCCGCGAGCCACTGCAGCCCCTAATAATGAGTTCAGATTTTTTGTGGCCCCCGCCCCCATCAAATTTGCCCATCCCTAATCTAAGTAATCACGGTTGAATTACCGGCCGGGGGACCCCATTCATTTTGTTAGTCAGTCTCACTCAGATATCATATTCTCTTCACGTCTCCTGAGTGGCGCAGTGGTCTAAGGCACCGCATCGCAGTACTAACTGTGCCACTAGAGATCCTGGTTCGAATCCAGGCTCTGTCGCAGCCGGCCGCGACCGGGAGACTCATGGGCGGCGCACAATTGGCCCAGCGTCGTCCAGGGTAGGGGAGGGAATGGCCGGCAGGGATGTAGCTCAGTTGATAGAGCATGGCGTTTGCAACGCCAGGGTTGTGGGTTCGATTCCCACGGGGGGCCAGTATAAAAAATACAAAAAATAAAAATTGTATTCACTAACTGTAAGTCGCTCTGGATAAGAGCGTCTGCTAAATGACTAAAATGTAAATGTAAATGTATATTAAAACCTGCAAACATTTCTCTCCACCCTATGGAAAACTTTGTAGAATTGCAGGAAATTAGCTGTAAAACAGCACATTTTTCTCTACCCCCCATGGCAAAATGTGTAGAATTGCACAAAATTAACTCTAAAACGTAAAAAATGTATCTCCGCTGTCAAGAGGGGGGCTGCCCAAATGTTTTGCTCGCAATGTGGTGGAGTGGTACGCACATGTGGGTAAACAGACCCGCGAGCAACTGCGGCCCCTGATGATAAATTCAGATTTTTTGTGGCCCCCACCCCCATCAAAGTTGCCCATCCCTGGTGTAATGTGTTGCACTGACCTCAGTGAGCTTGCCGCAGACAGTGCACTTGGTTTTGAGGGAGGACTTGGGTGGGTTCTGTTTGTTCTCGTAGGCTCCCAGACAGCCTGTACTGCAGAACTCCTGGAACGACTCACTGGAGTCCACCTGGGCCACGATTGTGCCCTTCATTGTAGTGATGTCCCTGGAAGACACACGTTAACACACACAGACATTAGAAATAAAGTAGCAAATTAGATATATCAACACACACACACACAGCGACACGTCTTACTTTTTGCACATGGTGCAGCTCTTCTTGGGGGTGGGTTTGTGTGAGAAGGCAGAGAGGCAGGTGGTGGAACAGAACAGGTGTGTGGATCCTTTCCGCTGGTAGGCCGTCTGTCCTTTCTTCAGAGGCTTCTTACAATTGGCACAGGTCACCTTGACAGTGCGAGGGGAGTTCTGGGAGCCCGAGGGGGAGGGGCCAGGTGGTTTGGGCAGAGAGGCGGTTGGCGACGGAGAGTCCACCCCCGTCTGTTTCTGGTTCCGTGGGAACGAGGCCGACTGGGAGATCCACAAATCTGTGGAGAGAAAAATCACGTACAAACAAACTTTAGCAGACCTGAAGAAACAACGTAACAGGTGCAATGTGAAAAGAAGCTGTAAGCCAGCATAGAATGGTTCAGCACAATAGTGTTAAAACCATATGAGTTTGTGTTTACTACCAGGCCTCTGGTGGGTCCCTGTGTCTCCGTTCTGTACAGGCTGGCTAGTGGTGGAGGTGTTGCTGACCCGGCCAGGGTTGAAAGTGGGCGGGGGCCTGGTGGTGCTGATAGAGCTCCGGGCCTCAGGGTTCAGACTGAAGGTGCTGCTGATCTGCAAGCCCTTCTCCGCTACACCCGACCCCACGACCCCCACCCCACCTTGCAGCGACGTCACACTGGTGATCATCAGGTTCATGTCCCTCTCTGCCACTGGCTCTGCTGCTGTAGCTGCCGTGGCTAAGGCAGAGGGCCCCAGCGTTGTGACGTTGCCGATCTTTATCTCCGAGTCCGGCTCCGTGCTGCTCAGAATACCTCCGCTGTACGAAGAGGAGGGGCCTCCGGCTGTGGCCAGTGAGGAAGAGCCTCTGTGCCCGGGATCCTCCTCATCGTCAATGACAATGGGCTCTGTGGATGGTGCTGATGAAGTGGCGGGTGGACTGGGTTTTTTGAAGGGAGCTGTTGCTGCTGTGGCGGTTGTCGTGTTTACTATTGCCATGGTTTCTATTTCTGAGGGGTGGGGCTCAGTGCAGTCTGTGAGGGTGTAAGATGCGGGTGCGCCAGCTTGGGAAGGGGGAGTAGCAGAGGGGGTGGGGGGCTGTTTCCCTGAGGGAGGTGGGGCCTCTTCCACCAGCACCACATCATCATCATTGTCATTGTTCTCCGGAACCCTGGAGGATTCCTCTGTTACCGTGGTGACGGGAGCCTGGGTTCCCGTGGGGTGTGTGGTTTTCTCTGAGGAGGGAGTGATGTCTGTGTCCATGGGTTCCTCTTCTGTGGCTGGGGTTGTGCTCCCCTCCACTACCCCAGGCTTGGGCTCCAATTCCCCATCCATCATTTAGGCTGCTACCACCTGTCCTGCACCTACACAAACACAGCACAGGTTATTAGGAGTGACCTACCATAAGCCTAGTCCATGGTAAACATGTTGAGTGCAGGTATCCCAGGTACAAGCTGTGTGTATGTGAAGAAATAGGAACACAGCCAACCTCTGTTTAGGCTACCTGGTTGATTACAAAATAATCATTAATGAGCTCAGGTAAAGCCCAGTTAAGAGACTGTGATTTCTTTCCAGACACACAATACCACTGACTGTCCAAGGGACCCACTGTCCTGCAAGAATACCAACCTCTATACATGTTCCCTCTTATCCTTTCCCTCTTCCCTTGTCCCTTCACCCCTTTTAGTCTCCATCTACTCCTTCTGTCCAGGTTCTCCTCTCCTCATTCAAACCTCTAACCCCCCCTACAAACAGTTAAGCTACAGGACTGTTTTGCTAGCACAGACTGGAATATGTTCCGGGATTCTTCAGATAGCATTGAGGAGTACACCACATCAGTCACTGGCTTCATCAATAAGTGCATCGATGACGTTGTCCCCACAGTGACCGTACGTACATACAATGGGGAAATTTTTTCTTTCGTCAGCCACCAATTGTGCAAGTTCTCCCACTTAAAAAGATGAGAGAGGCCTGTAATACACGTCAACTATGACAGACAAATTGAGAAAAAAAAATCCAGAAAATCACATTGTAGGATTTTTAATGAATTTATTTGCAAATTAGGGTGGAAAATAAGTATTTGGTCAATAACAAAAGTTTCTCAATACTTTGTTATATACTCTTTGTTGGCAATGACACAGGTCAAACGTTTTCTGTAAGTCTTCACAAGGTTTTCACACACTGTTGCTGGTATTTTGGCCCATTCCTCCATGCAGATCTCCTCTAGAGCAGTGATGTTTTGGGGCTGTTGCTGGGCAACACAGACTTTCAACTCCCTCCAAAGATTTTCTATGGGGTTGAGATCTGGAGACTGGCTAGGCCACTCCAGGACCTTGAAATGCTTCTTACGAAGCCACTCCTTCATTGCCCGGGCGGTGTGTTTGGGATCATTGTCATGCTGAAAGACCCAGCCACGTTTCATCTTCAATGCCCTCGCTGATGGAAGGAGGTTTTCACTCAAAATCTCACGATACATGGCCCTATTCATTCTTTCCTTTACACGGATCAGTCGTCCTGGTCCCTTTGCAGAAAAACAGCCCCAAAGCATGATGTTTCCACCCCCATGCTTCACAGTAGGTATGGTGTTCTTTGGATGCAACTCAGCATTCTTTGTCCTCCAAACACGACGAGTTGAGTTTTTACCAAAAAGTTCTATTTTGGTTTCATCTGACCATATGACATTCTCCCAATCCTCTTCTGGATCATCCAAATGCACTCTAGCAAACTTCAGACGGGCCTGGACATGTACTGGCTTAAGCAGGGGGACACATCTGGCACTGCAGGATTTGAGTCCCTGGCGGCGTAGTGTGTTACTGATGGTAGGCTTTGTTACTTTGGTCCCAGCTCTCTGCAGGTCATTCACTAGGTCCCCCCGTGTGGTTCTGGGATTTTTGCTCACCGTTCTTGTGATCATTTTGACCCCACAGGGTGAGATCTTGCGTGGAGCCCCAGATCGAGGGAGATTATCAGTGGTCTTGTATGTCTTCCATTTCCTAATAATTGCTCCCACAGTTGATTTCTTCAAACCAAGCTGCTTACCTATTGCAGATTCACTCTTCCCAGCCTGGTGCAGGTCTACAATTTTGTTTCTGGTGTCCTTTGACAGCTCTTTGATCTTGGCCATAGTGGAGTTTGGAGTGTGACTGTTTGAGGTTGTGGACAGGTGTCTTTTATACTGATAACAAGTTCAAACAGGTGCCATTAATACAGGTAACGAGTGGAGCACAGAGGAGCCTCTTAAAGAAGAAGTTACAGGTCTGTGAGAGCCAGAAATCTTGCTTGTTTGTAGGTGACCAAATACTTATTTTCCACCATAATTTGCAAATAAATTCATTAAAAATCCTACAATGTGATTTTCTGGAAAAGAAATTCTCAATTTGTCTGTCATAGTTGACGTGTACCTATGATGAAAATTACAGGCCTCTCTCATCTTTTTAAGTGGGAGAACTTGCACAATTGGTGGCTGACTAAATACTTTTTTTCCCCACTGTACCCCAACCAGAAGCCATAGATTACAGGCAACATCCGCACTGAGCTAAAGGGTAGAGCCGCCGCTTTCAAGGAGCGGGACTCTAACCCGGAAGCTTATAAGAAATCCCGCTATGCCCTCCGACGAACCATCAAACAGGCAAAGAGTCAATACAGGACTAAGATTGAATTGTACTACACCGGCTCTGACGCTCGTCGGATGTGGCAGGGCTTGAAAACTATTACAGACTGCAAAGGGAAGCACAGCCGCGAACTGCCCAGTGACACAAGCCTACCAGACGAGCTAAATCACTTCTATGCTCGCTTCGAGGCAAGCAACACTGAAGCATGCATGAGAGCATCAGCTGTTCCGGATGACTATGTGATCACGCTCTCCGTAGCCGATGTGAGGAAGACTTTTAAGCAGGTCAACATTCACAAGGCCGCAGGGCCAGACGGATTACCAGGACGTGTACTCCGAGCATGTGCTGACCAACTACAAGTGTCTTCACTGATATTTTCAACATGTCCCTGACTGAGTCTGTAATACCAACATGTTTCAAGCACGACAAAACCTATTCCCCCTCAGGAGACTGAAAAGATTTGGCATGGGTCCTCAGATCCTCAAAAAGTTATACAGCTGCACCATCGAGAGCATCCTGATTGGTTTCATCACCGCCTGGTATGGCAACTGCTCGGCCTCCGACCGCAAGGCACTACAGAGGGTAGTGCGTACGGTCCAGTACATCACTGGGGCCAAGCTTCCTGCCATCCAGGACCTCTATACCAGGCGGTGTCAGAGGAAGGCCCTAAAAATTGTCAAAGACTCAAGCCACTCTAGTCATAGACTGTTCTCTCTGCTACCGCACGGCAAGCGGTACCGGAGCGCCAAGTCTAGGTCCAAAAGGCTTCTCAACAGCTTCTACCCCCAAGCCATAAGACTCCTGAACAGCTAATCATGGCTACCCGGACTATTTGCACTGCCCCCCCACCCCACCTCATCCCCTTCTTTTACACTGCTGCTACTCTGTTTATTATTTATGCATAGTCACTTTAACTCTACCCACATGTACATATGACCTCAATTACCTCGACTAACCGGTGCCCCCGCACATTGACTCTGTACCGGTACCCCACTGTATATAGCCTCCCTACTGTTCTTTTATTTTACTGCTGCTCTTTAGTTATTTGCTTTTATTTTTATTTAATTAACACTTCTTTTATTTTACATTTTTATTTAAAAAACTGCATTGTTGGTTAAGGGCTTGTAAGTAAGCATTTCACTGTAATGTCTACACCTGTTGTATTCGGCACATGGGGCAAATAAAATTTGATTTGATCTATCCTCGATCTCAACTAGAGCCCGACCGATAAAAATGTTGACGGATATTAGCCTTTCACAGAAATATTTGTATCGGTCTTTATTCCACAGATAAAGCGCTGATATTATATACATAGAATGAACAAATACGTCTGCTCATTTGCGGTTATTTAAAAAAAATGTTCAATGGTTGCCAGAAGAGGGCGCGCTACGATCTGTTTATTGAACATCATTCAGCCCTAAGTCACGACGGGAGAGAGAGTAGGCATGGTGGTTTGACTGTGAGTAGCATGCCACAGCCAGCCACAGCGTATTTGAATAAAATAAAATAGTATTTGTCACATGCGCCGAATACAACAGGTGTAGACCTTACCGTGAAATGCTTACTTACAAACCCTTAACCAAAAATGCAGTTCAAGAAATAGAGTTAATATTGACTAAATAACTAAAGTACAAAATAAAATAAAAAGTTACACAATAAAATAACAATAACAAGGCTATATAAGTAAATAATCCAAAGTACACTTCACCAAGCAAGCCGCCCTGTCCTCATCACATTCTCACTTAGTTAACGTTAGCTGGCTAGCTAACCAGCAATGTAGTTAAGCTCTATCTAGCCAGCAAGGTAGTTAGCCTAGCTAACGTTAGCTAACAATCTGTGCTATGTGTGAACACTGGACTGGCGCCAAAGTGAAAACCCTTGATACAAAAATAACACCATTACTGTCTGAGCCTATTATGTTAGTGGGCTTATTTAGTTAGTTTTCCGAAATATGCTATCTACAAAAAGCACAACAATTGGTGCATATCTATCATTCAGGCCAGGTGCTTGCATTCATGATGAGATAAGATTGTTGTTAGCTAGCTAGATAGCTATATTAGAATGTGTGTGACTAAAACCAGTGCAGAAATCATTTTCCTGCATGTTCGTTTTCAGTCATCAGTGCATGCCATTTGCTGTTGAAATATATAGCCAATACATTTTGTATTAAATAACAGCGTAATTTACATGATGGTTTCAGTAAGAAAACACTGTCGTAATAAACAGCTAGCGTGCGCTTGTCATAACAATCTCTCATTGCGAGATTAACATAATGTGTTTCTTTATATGACTGTTGTAAAGCACTGCAGTGAATCTACTCAATACAAATGCTGACATCTAGTGGTGACTTTACAAACTGCAAGTTACTGTATTTCACTCCATAGGTTGTAGGGATGGGCATGAGTAATCAAGTACTACAATGGACGTCAAAGCGCGATCTTTAACCAACTATCTTTTTTTATATATACTGTAAAACTATTTGCTGGAATGTGATTTGTGGTTGCTCGAACGGGCAAGTTACATTTTCTTTAAGACAGTGTTAATTTGCTTTGACTCTAGTGTTCCATTTATACATGTGCATTTTCTGGGCACAACAAAAAAGAATTGCGTTCCAACCGCTCCCTCCACACGCACATGCTGAGTGCGCACACAAGCTCTAGATAGGCCTACAGAACTAAATGGCTATAAAAATGTACAGTGCCTTCAGAAAGTATTCATTCACCT